GAGAGAGAGAGAGAGAGAGAGAGAGAGAGAGAGAGAGAGAGAGAGAGAGAGAGAGAGAGAGAGAGAGAGAGAGATGTGACTTAAGCTGTTGGACGTTTTGTTCTACAAGTAGCTGTGTTGCTCAGCCCTCGAGCTGGTGTTATCTTTGTGTGTCATGTGTGGTAATTGTACTTTGAGCCAGGGAGTGGAGCCCACAAACATATTGGCAATGACATTCACAACAGCGGCAGCAAGAGAAATGAGAGAACGGATAGCAAAAGTCGTTGGAAAAGATGTTGCAAAGAAGCTGACTATCTCAACGTTTCACTCCTTTTGCCTCAGCCTTTGTCGTGAGCATGCCGGCAAGTATGTTCGCTTGGCCCCCTTACCTCAGGTTGCTGAAAGCTTTGCAGTTGTGTGTGCGTTTGGGGGGTGCTAGTCATATCTTTTGTCTGTGACTCTTATCTCACAGCTATCGTCTGTGAGACTCATGGGTCACACCATTGTCTGTGAGGCTCATGTCTCATGATCTCGTGCATGTACTCGGGTTCAAATTTCAAGAATCTCATGTACGTCCATCCAGCATGTCGCTTATACAAGTGAAATGAGGTCGCACTTAATTGCAATTCCACAGAAAATTGGAATCGAACAATCACACTCAAAATCGTTGATGAAAAAGCTGATGGCAAATTGAGCGCCCTGCCTCCCTGAGCAACATGCAACAGTCGGCTGAAGAAACTGTTCACTGGAGAGCAAGTTCTCACTGGCTATGGCTGCACCCTCTCTCCTCAACCAGTGCTTAACTTAGCCCACTTCCAGTCTCACCGAGTGGCAATGATATGATGAAAGATTTCTGAATGAGAGTTTCGCCCCACTAGTTACTTTTGAGGAGATGCTACTTGCCTGGGCCTACCGTGTCTCGCCTCCGAAAACAAGGCCCAAGCCTACTAGCTGAAAAAGGCCCTACCACTATGCTAGGCAAACAGAGACTCTACATGCAGCTCCTGGGTTCAAAACAGCATGGCTTCAAACCGGTAAAGAAAAATGGAAGGAAAATGAGTGATAGCGAACTTCAGAAACCAAGCAGCATCATACACATGAGACCAGATAGTCGTGACCCCGAACCAAAGCAGAAATGCAACACGAGTTCCCACCAAGTAAGAGCACAGCAAAAGCTCATAAGTGACAATGTTCAAATAGTCTCATCATCATCAACAAAGAACCAATGTTGACATCCTATCTGGCGCTCTGCGCCCAGACTACGAATGGGAGATCCTATCTAGCCTATCTACAATGCCGCTGGTGACGTCAACAGCTCCCCGAAGTACGAGCAGATCTCGGCCAATGCTGTTCGCCTCAAGCACCAGGTATGTCTCTCGTATCACTCACAACCTCGATCCCCCGCTCACAGATGCCACATGCACCCAAGGACCACCATGCGCCTCATCCAGCTATGCAGCGCAGCTCGGCTATGGCTGGCTGCTTCTCTCTCGGCTCGCCCGTGAGCGCGTGAGCCTGGCCAGCGTGTAGCGCAGCATGCAGCCAGTGCCCGAATGCCGAATGCGGGGGCAGGACCTTTCCTAAATGGAAGTGCCCTGCTAGCTGCATGCGGTCAGCCTGTACTGGGCCTCGGCCCAGAAGCTTCCGGTAGGACTCGAGAGGCTGAGCCCCGGTCCTAACGAATCAGGCCCAGGGCCTGTGACGGTTGCTTGTTTTCAACTGCCCGAAGCCTGGGTTCGGCCCATGTAGTGTATCTGGCCCAGGGCCTGCCTCAGTTGCATACGAAAAAGGCAGTCAGGGCCTGGGCGCTCTCAACCAACTGGCGCTGCGCAACTGCCTGAATTTTCCCCAGTTGCGTGGTAGCCTGAAAATAGGCCTTGTGGCCTTGGTTGGGTGTTGCATACCGTATAGGTGCAGACCAGAACAAGAACCGACCTTTCAATACAAAGTATAAAATAGCACAGCGGAAGACTTAGATACCAATGATCCGAACAATCAATATTTCAATGCAGCCCCAAACATACATCATCATCATCATTCCATGGTGTGAAGGGGTCTGGCGCTTCACACAGGAAGACTGCGCCAGTCCCAACCATACACAGACGAAGAAGATGGGGTTTAGACGAAGAAGAGG